ACTGAATCAGGTTTTTCTTAGTGACAATATGTTGCCTATGATGCAAAATATATATTTCCGTTATAAACTGTGAAAGAAATTGACACATTTAGATGAAGAAATTACTTCAATAATCCAACTGTGCTATTCAATTTAGGGCTTATTGCAGTAGTGGGGTGCTCGGCGATTGCGTTATGGAATACACTCGTCGCGTTGTGCGTTGGAGCTCACCCTCAAGCCGCGAAGGCAGCCATACAGCGGCTAGACAGAATAGTATTATCAACAAAGGCAAAGGAGGCTGGAAGACTGACCATTTCTGGCGCATTAGCCGTCATCAGCTAGCCATACCCAACCTCAGGTGTTGTAGCACCCGAGAATCGTAAGGGCGTTGGGCTTCTAACTACCAGGTTACGGGTTCGATCCTAGGGTGTTGCAACACCTTGGGTTGGGTACGGCTGACTGATGGTCAGTCAGGTCTCATTTACTTGCATGACTGTTCAAATACAAATACGATTGAAGTTCACATGACTTTTGATAATTTTAGGGGACTGATTCCAAGTCAGGTGTATGTCGGGTCAGGGGACCGCTCATGCTCGGAAGTCATCGTTGATCAGCAAGAGGTCTTGCCTGACCGCGAAATAACCCAAGTGGTTAATAACGCCTATGGCCAAAATGTGCGAGAATTAAAGTCCCATTTGCTCATAACGATTCATCCATCAATGAGCAGTAGGTTATAACTGGATTATCCTGAACACATTTTTCATGTTGCCCAAACCCGTATGGGCTGGCTTTCTGCTCACATCGGTCTCAACCGAGAAGATCGATGTCGCCTATATGTCGTAACTCACCTCCGCGGACAGAAAAATCCGAAGGACGTTATTTTTCGAGTCACTGCACTGTTTTAACTTCTCTGTAGTGTGGTTCTTCAATAGGTGATAGGCACTTTAGTGTGTGAGGGAGAGTCTAATCGTCCGGACGTACCCAGATGTTGACTTCAAATACGTTGAATCGTATTTCTCTCTCTCTCTCTCTCCCGACATTCTAGAACCCCACAGACCTCGTTCACATATCCGCTATCTTTTGACATGAGTTAAGACTTCTCCGGTAGGATATGCCTTGAAACCTTTGTCCTGAGGCCTGAAGCGGCCCA